CTGTTTATGTTATTTCGACCAATCTGGACCATGATCTCTAGCTGAGTGCACTCCCCCGAAGAATGTCCTGCAGCTGCTCTACACATCCTGCCAGTCCAGTCCCCGATTATGAAATCCTCCAACATCATTGCTTTTCTCGGTAGACAGACAGGAGACTGGAAGGACACAAGCTTGGCAGCATCTGGAGGAAAGGAGCAGCCAACGTTTTGGATATTACCCTTCTTCACGACTGGATTTGGGGGTAGGGGAAGCGGCAGATAAAGGCAGGGGGAGGGGGTTAGCAGAATGGTGGTACCGGTAATGGACACTGGTAGTAGGTACGACCTGGTTGATCGACGGGAGGGATGAATCCGGTTGGTAACTGGAAGGGGAGGGTCAGTGGGTGGAATGGAATGGAGGAGGTGGGGCTGGAAAGGGAACCAGGGGATGGGTGGGAAGGTTATTTGAAATTGGAGAACTCAGTGTTGAGTCCTCCAGGCTGTAGGGTGTGCAGGTGGAAGATATGGTGTTTACAAAAACAAAGTTGCTGGAAAAGCTCAGCAGGTCTGAGCTTTTCCAGCAACTTTGTTTTTGTTCCCGATTTGCAGCATCTGCAGTTCTTTTGGTTTTTATTTGGAGGATATGGTGTTGTTCTTCAAATTTGTGTTGCGAGTCACTGCAACGCTGGAGGAGGCTGAGGATGGACATGTCGGAGGGGGAGTGGGGGTGAGAGCGTGAGTTGAAATGGGTGGTGACCGGGAGGTTAGGTTGGCCGTTACAGGCCAGGCATAGATACTTTTCTATTCTTCTCATCCCGCTCCTACTGTGCAACTGAGCTGTCCATGGTGCTTCTCTCTGGCTGTACTCTTGCTGAGGAATCATTGCCCTCACTGTATATACAGCAAGATAGACTCAGAGCAGCCCCCTGCCTGGTTTCCATTCCCTGGTTGTGTGTACACTGCTAACTTACTGTGTGACCACCTCTCTAAACATGCTGCGTACATAGTCCCCTTGCCCTGCAGATGCACAACAGTGATTCAAGTTCCGTTACATGAAGTTCAAGTCTGTGCAGTTGGTGACAAATCTCGAAGACGTGTTCATCTGGGACACACTGTGTCCATGATGTCACACATTCCAATCTGCACTCTACTTTACTGAATGGACCTGCCATCCCCTAACTTTAAAAATGATTTATTACAAATGTTGAAAAACTTACCAGTACGCACCAAACAGCTTCTTCATGTGTGCTGAAGGGCCAGCCGCAACGAGCTGTTTCCAGTGCGGACTCCCCTCTTGTGCTGTTTTCAGTCTCTCAAACTGCTCCTCTCTCTACAGAGGGACTTCCAAATCAGGATGGTGTGTGAGACTTGGAGGGGAACTTACAGGTCATCATTTCCCCATACATCTGCCCTTCTAGATAGTAGAGGTGTCAAAGATCATTGTCACAGAGGACTGTGGAGGACAAGTCATTGAGTGTACGAAGACAGGCCATTGAGTATAGAAGTTGGGAGGTCATATTGCGGCTGTACAGGACATTATTTAGGCCACTTTTGGAGTATTGCATTCAATTCTGGACTCCCTGCTACAAGAAAGATGTTGTGAAACTTGAAAGGGTTCAGAAAGATTTACAAGGGTGTTGCCAGGGTTGGAGGGTTTGAGCTATAGGCAGAGGCTGAATGGGCTGGGGCTATTTTCCCTGGGCTGTCAGAGATTGAGGGGGGGACCTTATAGAGGTTTATAAAATCATGACAGGCACAGATAGGGTGAATAACTGAGGTTGTTTCTTCAGGGTAGGAGAGTCCAAAACTAGAGGGCACAGGTTTAAGGTGAGCGAGGAAACATTTAAAAGGGACCAGAGGGGCAACAGTTTCACGCAGACGGTGGGGCGTGTATGGAATGAGCTGCCAGAAGAAGTGGTGGAGGCTAGTACAATTACAACATTTAAAAGGTATCTGGATGGGTATATGAATAGGAAGGGTTTAGAAGGATATGGGCCAAATGCTGGCTAATGGGAACTAGATTAACTTAGGTTATCTGGTTGGCTTGGATGAATTGAAGGGTCTGTTCCTGTGCTGTATATCTCTATAACTCTAAGAAACATGGGTTCTTTTTAGGTAAGGGGATCGAAAGTTACAGGGAGAAGACTGGAGAATGAGGTTGAGAAACATAGCCACGATGAAATTGTGGTGCAGACTTGATGGACTGAATGGCCTAATACTGCTGCTCTATCTTATGCTCTTAAAATTGTAAGTTTGGGAGATGCTAATGGGGCAGCACAGTGGCTCAGTGGTTAGCACTGCTGCCTTACAGCACCAGGGGCTCAGGTTCAATTCCACCCTCAGGCATCTGTCTGTGTGGAGTTTGCACATTCTCCCCATGTCTGCATGGGTTTCCTCCCAAAGATGTGCAGGTTAGGGTGTATTGGCCATGCTAAGTTGCCCCATAGTGTGCAGAGCAGGTGAGTTGGCCATGGGAAATAGAGGGTATGGAGATGGGTGTGGGTGGAATGCTGCCCAGATGGTTGGTGTGGACTGAATGGCCTGTTTCCACACTGTAGGGATTCTATAATGAAGAAAGCACTTAATGGTGCTTTTTTTTCTCATGCACTTGATACTACCAACACTATTTTCTTCTCTGTTTGCTGAAATTTATTTCTCCTGAATCCCTGAGTGGACACAGTGGTAGCTATCTTATCTTGATGGCACCTTGTTTTCAGTGCTCCCTACAAGTGAAGAGCTCGCACATACACGGTTCATCACTTGGGCTGCACATTATGACTGCACAGCTATTGATAATGGAAGGTGCTGCAGATTTATCGGAGTGTCTCTCTCCAGCTGATACAGAGGATATTTTATTGATGAGGCGGTGTTGGTGTTCAGGAGAACTGGCAGACTGTGCACTAAAGTAGGGCCCTGAAAGTCAATGGGATGACATAAGCCACATTATTGCAACAATTAGTGCCTTGTGATGATCTATGTTCTTACACATGGACGGATCTGTGATTTCATGCTGCAGAAGACCATTAATTGCGGAATATAAATGGCAGCAAGCGGTTGTGATCTGTCAAACAAACCAGGAGCACCATTTGTTTTTTATTACAATTTTAATATCAGAAGACAATTCAGAATGAAAACACAGCTTATTTGTGGGATTTTTTTTGTGTTTATATTTTGTTGTACTCCGCTCTGGGTGAAGTCACCCCACCCTTTCTGCAATGCAGATTCCACTTTCACTAGCTGCCCTCTTAGACCTTACACTGCACCGCAGTATATCCCGAGATGCGGCAAAGTGGGAGCAATTGGATGGATTCCATCCCTAACACCTCTCCTTCCTCCAAGTTCAGGACAGCTTATAGACACTATCTCTCTTGCTCACCAACCTTTAGAAATTCTTCCAGCCCATCTCCACCTTTGGGCCACTCTCCAGACCTTTCCCTTTTGATGCTGCATCATATCCCCAGCTACCACAAGATTGTTACGGTGCAGGAGGCCATTCAGCCCATCATGCCTGCACTGGCTCTATTTCCTAGTGCCAGTCTCCTGCCTTTTCTCCATATCTCAGCTCTCCATTTCTATCCAAATGACTGTCCAATGCCCCCCTTGAATGCCTCAATTGCACCGGCCCCCACTACATTTCCAGGCAGTGCTTTCCAGGCCCTACCATAGGAGCATAAGAAGTGAGAGCAGCAGGAGGCAATTCAGCCCCTCGGATCAGCTCCACCATTGGATTTGATCATGGCTGATATCATCTTGGCCTCAACTCCACTTTCCTGCCCGCTCCCCGTAACAATTCAATCCACTACTCATTAAAAATCAATCTATCTCCTTCAATTTACTCAATGGCCCGGCATCTGCTGTATCCTGGGCTAGTGAATTCCACACATTTACCAGTCTTAGACAGGAGTCATTTCTCCTCATCTCACCTTTGCTTCGTTTGCACATCAGCCCCAGGGCCCATATATTCCACGGTCTCCCTCTGTAGATATTGTGTCAACTTTGCAACCGTTCCAGGGCTCCCTCTGGGCTCTGCATGCGGTATCCTAGCCACCACCAACTTCTGTTACTGCTATTTTGACTCTACTTTCGCTGGTTTGTGCACCGCTTTACTTGAGGACCCGTACCATGCAGGAGAGAAATTTACAAGTAACTAGCGTTTACTGTTTAATGGTACATTAGCCTTTATCTGAAAAACTGTGTGGTAGAAATTATGCTGCAGTGTTTAGGGGTCTGGTCTGAAATACGCATTCATTTTTGTCAAAGACACACTGGCCTTGGCGTGGATACAGTACAGATTTGCCAGAATAACATCATGGCTTAATGTTAAATTATGAGTGTTTGGATATGCTGTGCTTCTTTTTGCGTGAGTGTAGCAGCTTAAGGAGCAATCTATTTGAGGATTTTAACATAATTAAAGGATTTGAACAGTGTAGATAGAGACAAATGATTTCCTCTGTTGGACACAAGGGAGCATAAAATTAGAGATGGCTGTTTTCAAAATTTTACATAGAATCCCTACAATACAGAAGCAGGCCATTCAGCCCATCAAGTTCACAGTGACCCTCTGAAAAGCATCCCACTCAGGACCACCCCTTATTCTATCCCTGTAACCTGCATTTCCCATGGCTAACTCACCTGGCCTGCACATCCCTGGACACTAGGGGCAATTTCCCATGGCCAATCCACCCTAACCTGGACATTTTTATACTGTGGGAGGAAACTGGAACACCCACAGGAAACCCACACAGAGACAGGGAGAATGTGTAAATTCCACACAGTTACCCAAGGCTGGAATCAAACCCAGCTCCTTGGCGCTGTGAGGCAGCAGTGCTAACCACTGAGCCACCCTGCTATTCCATGAAAGGTACTGCAAAGCCTAGACTTCTCTCCCTCAAAGAGAAATTGAAGGTGGACGGTAGGGATGCAAAATTTCAACACAGATGGATGTTTGTTAGGTACCACTATGAAGGATTACAGAACCAGGTTGAACAGATGCAGTTACATACAGATCACTCGACACAGAGGTTTGAAACGCTGATTGATTTTCCTTTAATCATCAAAACAGTAGAAGTCGGATCTGAGTCTTTCCCCACACACTTCTATTCTTCCACCCAGTAATTTCTCACAATGCAAGGAGTCCTTGGCACTCAGGAAGATTAATTAGAGGCTACAATTCTGAGCTGCCTGTGGTATTTGGTTAAAATGTCAGCAAAAGTTCAAAAGTGACACGTTGGAGCCCAATGAGGTAATAAATTCCTATTGATACAAATAACATTACAGGTCAGTGATTGGAAAGAAACCATCAGAAGTATATAAAGACAAAACATTGTGAGGGTCGCAGAGGCTGCCGCATTAATTAAACCAAAGTCGATAAATCAAACAAAGTTGCTTCTGGGCTCCTTATATTAAAAAAAAAGGATTATTTTGCTCCTACATTGGGCCTCATGAGCTTTCAGAATTGAGAGATCTGCAGGAGCGGCCATCATGTCATCTCCTAACAAAAACAAAGTTGCTGGAAAAGCTCAGCGGGTCTGGCAGCATCTGTGAAGGAAAAAAACAGAGTTAATGTTTCGGGTCCGATGACCCTTCGTCAGAAAGATCATCTCCTAACGTTGCAACTGTCCTTCCACAGCCTTACACTGGTCGCACAAGCCGCTAGATTATTGTGGTCTTTTTTCCTTTGGTGGGAAGCCAATTTGAAAGAGGAAGAGGAAACTGTCGTTTGGGTCTGGCAGCTCCTGCTGATTGGTCAGGTGTGCCCCATGTTTGGGTCTCCTCGTCTTCGGCCCTGCCTCACCTCCTCCCTGCCTCACGCTCTGTGTGATTGGAAGCCAAGGATTCGAGCTCCCATTCCGGTTGGTGGAAGTGGATGTTGTACTTCCTCGCCCACCTGGCGAACGCGTGCTTTTCCGTGATGAACCGGTGATGGCTCCCCTTGCGGCCCAGCTCGTGCGAGATGTACATCGTGCACTCATCGATTCCTGAAGACTCGTAGTAATGATACGGCACGGAGCGGTGAGGGGGGTCCCTGAGTAAGAGAATACCATGTTACTGTGCAGGTTCACATATTCTCCCTCACGATGGCAGTGATTAGCTTGCAGAAATATTTCAATGGTTACAAAGAGTTTGGGCTTATCCTGAGCCTGCAAAAAATATCTCCTTCCTTCATCCAACTGTCTTTGTTGTCTGTTGTTAATCCATTTTAGAGCTGGAGAATTCAGTGAGTCTTCCCTCCAAAGGCCACCGTCCACTGGTTGCCCCATAGTCATAGAGATCTATACAGAATAAGGCCCTTCAGCCCATCAAACCTGTGTCAGTCCACAACAACCACCAAACTATCCTAATCCTATTTCTCAGCACTTGACCCACAGCCCTGTGTGCCTTGGCATCGCAAGTGAACATCTATACACTTTGTAAATAGTATGAGGGCTTCTGCCTTCATCACCCTTACAGGTAGTGAGTCACACAGCATGGAAACAGATCCTTCGGTCCAACTTGTCCATGCTGACCAAGTTTCCCAAACTAAACTAAACATGATGGACATTCATCCACAGGGACCTGTTCTCTGCAAATAAAACAAATACGTTTCAGCCTATCCCAATGTTTTTGACAAAATAAAAACTGAAAGAACTGCAGATGCTGTAAATCAGAAACAAAAACAGAAATTGCTGGAAAAGCTCAGCAGGTCTGTTAGCATCTGTGGAGAGAAATCACAGTTAATGTTTCAGGTCCAGTGACTGTTCTTCAGAACTGAGGAGCTCTGAGGAAGGGTCACTCGACCTGAAACGTTAACTCTGATTTCTCTTCACAGACGCTGCCAGACCTGCTGAGTTTCTACAGCAATTTCTGTTTTCGCTCCCAATGTTTTTGAATTAACTACAAATTTCAGGCATCTCTAGTTCCATTGTTATGATCATTGGAAGTTAACCGAAGAACAGTCAAACTGGACTTAAAGTGTTAACTCTCCACAGATGTTGCCAAACCTGCTGATTTTATCCAGCATTTTCGGTTTTTATTTGGCATTCTTGTGTTTGTCCTAATCAGTGCAAGACATAAAGCTTTGGTAAAACGTCTGCGTTTTCAGAAAACTCCAATCTTTTTATTTATAAGATGTAAATCCTGAGCGACATTGGTGTCAAATCAGTTACCATCGTCGAGTTTCAAATTTACAGATTTATCGCCTCAAAAATAAATTTAAATCCCCAAATTGCAAATGTGGGATTTGAATTCAAAGCTGCAGGTTGTTAGCCCAGACTTCAGGTTCACTAATCTACTTAACAAAACCATTCAACAGTCCACCTCCACTACTGTTCTGAGCTATTTGTTCATGCATCTTCAGTCCCATGCCAATGGGGTTGATTCAGAAATCTAACAAAACCTCTCAGTTGTATCTAGGTCAACGACACAAGGGCAACACTGCTGCCAATGTATGTATCTTGCAAACAGATAAAAGACCCCTTCAGATTCTGTAGATTCTGGGATGTAGTTTCTCTATCCTGCATAATGAATCTCTAATGTCTCCTGTTCTACGTCACAATTTACAGAAGGGCTACAGCGCAAAAGGAGGTATTCAGTCCATCATTGACTGTGCTAGCTCTCTATACGAGCAACACAACTAGTCTCACTCCCCAGTTCTCCCTGTAATCCTGCAATTTATTTTCCTCCAGGTGTTTATCCAATTGAAAGCCAGGATTGGAATTATCTCCATCAGACTTCCCAGCACTTCAATCCTAATCACTCAGTGGATTAAACAGATTTTCTTCATCTTGCTGTTGCTTCTTTTGCCAAGCATACTGTCCTGTGCATAATGGCCTAGTACAGCAACTGCTCTGCCAAGGACCTTAAGGAACTAGAAGGTGGTGTGCACAGCCCAGACCATCACGGAAGCCAACCTTCCATCCATGGACTGTATTTACACAGCTCGCTGCCGCGGAAAGGCGGCCAACATCATCAATGACCCATCGCACCCCAGTAATGATCTCCTACAACCTCTTCCATCAGGCAGAAGATACAGAAGCTTGAACATATGCACCAACAGGTTCAAGAACAGCTTCTTCCCTGCTGTTATCAGACTGATGAATGGCCCTCTCTAACTTCAGATAATGTTGATCTTGTCAATAACAACCAAAAGAACTGTGGATGCTGGAAATCAGAAACAAAAACAGAAGTTGCTGGAAAAGCTCAGCAGGTCTGGCAGCATCTGTGAAGAGAAATCAGAGTTAACATTTCGGGTCCGGTGACCCTTCCTCAGAAGGGGTTCTGAGGAAGGGTCACTTGATTTTGTTAATGGTGATCTTGCTTCGCACACCTTCTATGTGGTGTAACCTGTATACCTTACTCTGTCCAAGTACCCTATACTCTGTATGGCCTTGCTTACTATGATCTGCCTGTACTGCTCGCAAACAAAACTTTTCACAATACTGAGGTAGACATGACAATAAATCAATGAAATGAAATCAAATCAATCAAATTAATCACTGTAAATGTGTAAGCTCTTTTGCCAATGGAGACAGTCTAACTCTCTCACAATTTTGAATACCTCCATCAAATCACCACTATTTTATGGAGAGCAGTCCCAGCTTCTCCAACTTATTCATATACTTGAAATCCCTAGAACCATTCTCGCTAATCTTTTCTGCAACCCTTTCTAAAGCCTTCTTTTTTTTTCAGAACTGTGATGCCAGAATTGGAATGTTAAGTTAATCCAGCAGCTTGAACCACATGATTTCCAAATACAAAGTCCTCTCATATTTTGTGTGTTAATCTTTCAGAAATTCCAGTGCAGTACAGCTCCTGGGTCCCCTTCTTCCTGACCAGAACCATGTACAGTACGACTGCTGCGTTCTCACTAAAGCTCTGTACAAGCAAGTCATCAAGTCATACAGTCACACAGCACATTCAGTCCAACCTGTCCATTCCAACCTTGTTTCCAAGCTAAACTAGACCCACCTGCCTGCATTTGGCCCATATCCTTCCATACCTTTCCTATTTATGAACTTATCCAAATGTGACTGTACCTGCATCCACCACTTCCTCCGGCAGTTCATCCTACACACGAACCACTCTGTGTAAAAAAAAGTTTTCCCTTATGTCCTTTCTAAAAATTTCTCCTCTCACCTTAAAAATATGCTCCCTAACTCCCCCAGCTTACGGATAAGACCCTTGTCATTCACTCTATCCACGCTCCTCATGATTTCATAAACCTCAATAAGGTCACTCCTTAACCTCGTACACTGCAGTGGAAAAAGTCCCAGTCTTTCCAGTCTATTTCTATAACTCAAACCCTCCATTCCTGGTAACATCCTGGTAATTCTTTTCTGAACCCTTTCCAGTTTAATAACATCCTTCCTGTAGCAGGATGGCCAGGACTGCACATATTACACCAGAAGAGGCCTCACCAACATTCTGTACAACCTCAACGTGATGTCCCAACTCCTACACTCAAAGGTCTGAGCAATGAAGGCAAGCATGCTAAGTCTTCCTTGTTCTTATTCACCAATCCCCTTGCAATAAAAACAAAACTAAGGAGGCTGGAATGAAAACAAGAAAAAAAAACTGCTGGGAAAACTCAGGAAGAGTCCATTCTTAAAGAAGGAAAGAGATAACTGCCATAGAGGGAGTGCGGGGAACGTTCATCAGACTGATTCCTGGGATGGCAGGTTTAAGATATAACTGCCATAGAGGGAGCGCGGGGAACGTTCATCAGACTGATTCCTGGGATGGCAGGTTTATTGTATTGGCTTGACTGGGCCACCTCACAGAGGAGATTCCTGGATTTAGGGATCATCTCATAGAATAGATTCCTGGATACAGGGATCACCCCACAAAACAGATTCTTGGATATAGGGATTGCCTTATAAAACAATTCCTGAGATAGTACACTCCCGCTTATGGAAAAGATATCGACAGAAAAAGATCATTTCTGTGCTGCTGCCTCTCAGTCACTTCCTGGACCATCAAGGTCATTTCAAGGCTCAGTGACTCAACCTCAAGGTACCACAGGGGAGACAGAGGAAGGAGAAGGGGATTCAGTTGGGGCAGCCCATTGGCCAGAAGTGGCACAAGATGCCTGCCTGTGGATTTTTAGTTGGCATAAATATAGCAAAGCTTTATAGGTGCAGTAACAGAATTAGCTTGCTGAGTTCAGAAATAAAGTGAGATCATAAGTTAAGGTAATGGTAGCTTTGAGAATAAGATAAATCCAAGGTAATAGGGTCCAGACAGAATGAAGAATCTTACAAATGAATATACAGGGAGTTCTGTACAAAGCCGCAGCTACAGATGTCAGTAAGAGGCAGTCTGATAAGAGATGTCTGGGAACAGTCTGCCTGAAGTTTGTAGTTTAGCAAGAATTGTAAGAAAAGTATGATCCCACAATAACAGAGACAAATGATAAGGTAAACAGAGAACAAGATTATATTTTGTAAAACCTTTGGAGTTCAGGCAAGCCTACTGAGCAGGGAAAGTGATTGAGTTTCAGCTTTATTAATGGAATTCAAATAGATGTTGTCTTATTAAAAAGAAGAGTTAGTGTAGAAATATTTACAATAGGGTCAGTAAATTTCATCTTCGATGCAATCTCCTGTTTAAAAGACACTTACAGACAACATGTGAATGGAAGGAGATATTGTTGCAGTTGCAAGACAGAGGGATTGTGTTTAGAAGACCTTCTGAGGTCAGGTGGGACAGAAGCTTCTCACAACTTATTGGCTAAAGAATTCTAACATTAGGTGTAACCATATAACTTTATATCTAACTCACTTTATATTAGAACTGACATTATGAATTAGATAGCAATTGGTAGTAATTAGTATCTTTTTGTATCAACCGTGATTAAGACAGTAGGAAATATAAGATGAGTGACGGAATTTGATAAGGATAGCAAGGAACACAATGAACAACATAATTCAAACAGTCCTTAGAGATATGCAAGTCTGGTAAATGTCTGAGAAAGAGTATAACAATTAACTTTGGAATGTGAGTTAAAGGGGTATGTTGTAAGATCCCAAGGCCTGATGATAACAACGT